CTATTTACTACTTTTCCACATTTCTATGCAATAATTTTGTTTATTTTTTGTCTCTAATCTTTTCATTTAACTTTGCATCTCAGGTATTTGTGTATTTCGTTGAGATATTTTTTTTTTATATATCCAGCTGCATTTGTAACAATACACAACTACTGATTGTGCTTTTGAAATTCTTAGTTGCATTTGTATATTTAATTTTGTGTTGGCACACAAAATGTGTAATGATTCTATCAATCACTTCTTTAATTTAAAATACTGCTATACATCCATCAAAAGTTGTGTGAAAACTGAAAATGAACCTTAAAAATCTGTATATCTACTCATTGTTAAAGGTGTGTTGTGTTTTCTTTATCCAGACAAGTTGTTGTTTATGTTAGTAGCACGTCTAGAGGACAACCAACTATAGCATGAACTTTATTGTCATCAATTTGCAACTTTTATATGATCCATTTAAACGTATAAATGAATTCAGATTATACACTATATTATGCCGTTGCTATGGTAAAATTTAAAACAGCTACTTTTTATACGAAACCATAACTAGCAATGTCAACAATGTCAAATCCAACAATATTGAACATGTAATGGATCTACAAGCTGGACCGTTAATTTGCTGTAAACAGAAATTATATATATATATATATATATATATATATATATATATATATATATATATATAAAGTCTGCATAATTTCTTAAACGTGTTGTTTTGTTTTAAATATAAAAATGAAGATTCTTATTCCATGGTATGTGTTTGCTATTACAGATAGCTTTTACCTCACTTTGATCCAATCAAAACATTTACACAAACACACGTTGTCTCTCATTAAAGAGATTGTACTTTAGGCTTGTGAAAAAACGTTTATTTTTTAATCACAATATAGCTTTGTGATATTATTTATAATGTTTTAAACATTTTTATATTATTTTGTGTTCCTCACACTAGCTTAATATATTGGCTTGTATGGTTAGTTATAAATACATGTTAATTTATAATTTATCAATGTGATGATTGCAATGGAGTAAATCCTTAAACTGATAAGCTTAATGCCAGTATGGCAGATTACCTAGAGCTCCAAAAAAAAAAAATTTAAAAAAAAATTGAGAGATGGAATTAAAACGTTTACTTTTCTTGTGCGTGGGCAAATTCCCTGTAATAAAACATCATGCTAATTTGAAATTTGAAATTTACATGTTAGTTTCTCAATTTGTGAACCACACACACACACACACACACACACACACACACACACACACACATATATATATATATATATACACATATATATATATATATATATATATATATATATATATATATATATATATATGTGTGTATATATTTCTATATATATATATATATATGTGTGTGTGTGTATATATATATATATATATATATATATATAGTTAGTTAGTCAATTTTGGTATTTCAGGATTCATATAGCTACGAATCTAATAGCAGAACTCCTCTTCTGGGGTCACCGGTCTCTATTCCCGAATCAAGGGTCGCTACAAATGATAATTTTTCGTCTGCACGACGTTACCGCCCGCCTGAGGACAGGAAGCAGTTTGGTAGGGTCATTTCAATACTAAAAGAACCAACTATACGGCGATATCTGTTATATATAGCCAATATTTCATTTAGTACAGACGTGCTGGAGCAGCCATTAAAATGACAGACTTTTGACCAGAGGTTATCAGTGCCGTCTTAAAGCATGGGTACACTGGGCAGTTGCACAGGGCCTCACCCTTCTATTGGCTTCATGATACCCATATTGTTAATGAATATTAGGGCCAGTAGAGGGCCCCAGTGCATTTCTTTGCCCAGAAGTTACATGTTGTTAAGCCGGCATTGGAGGTTGTAGATTCGAATCCTACCATTTAATCGGCCTCGGTAAACAACAATGTAGTAACCCTGGGCAAGGCACTTGACTCCAATTTCCTCGATACGAGATAACCCTTATGTGTAATTCTGCTGTTGAACAGTAAACCAAGCCCAACTAAACCAAACAAAACAAAATCAGAGCGTTCAATAATATAGACAAAAAATAAAGCACCATCAGAAACGAAGTTGATGATTCAAAATCATCTTAATTTTTCATCATCTTAAAAGAGTGGATACCCGTTGATCATAAATCTCCACAGATCCTTTTTCTATTAAAGTCGGATTTCACACTATCCTTCAAAATCTTTACTGATCCGCTCTGAATCAAAGTAGGAGTGCAATATGAATCGCAATCGCTTCGTATGATCCGTTTGAAATAAATTTCGAATGAAAAGGTCTATAGTTTCTTGAAAATCAGCAATTGCCATGTTTTCTCGTCCTTCAAACTAATATTTAGCGAAATAGTTTTATTGTTGTCTTTTTTATTACAAACCTATGTAAACGAGTCTGTTGAGAAAGAAAATGTAGATTATTGTTATTTTTTTTATCTTTAACTGCTTTTGACCCTACTGCATTAAATATATGCTTTGCTTCTCAGACTAAAATGCAGTTATGCATCTTACAGCTGTACTTTGAGGTCTTATTGGACTGCATTGACTTTTTTGATAGGCACCATGAGGTCTTATTGGACTGCATTGACTTGTTCGATAGGTATTATGAGGTATTATTGGACTGAATTGTCTTGTTTCTAACTCTAGAACATACTACCATGCTACCATAAAAAAGACAAAGACACAAAAGAAATAAAATGGGTATACTAATATTTTTGGCATCCAGCATCTTTCTCTCTGTTTAGGATGAAGACCAAACATATTTTATGGGTTTTCATTTTAAACACAAACTGTTTTCTAGCATTGTGACCATCAAATATTTGTTTATAAATTCGCTGTTCTCACTTTTCAGAGAGTTCACTAGAGGCTGTGACTACAATCGAAACGTTATCTGTTCCGGTCTCATCAGTGGACAAAACGTTTAAAGTAAGAGAGCTGAAAGAATGAATGAAACTAAGCCAAACTGTTTTTAAAAAAGAACAAGAATTTTATTATCATTTTCGTGTTGCTATATATTCGATTTTGTAAACATTTGCTGTTAAAGATCTAATAAAACATATAATCTTGCGATCATATTTTATTAAGGTATGTATTAAGCAAATTATAAATGTACAGATTTTAGCTGTAAATATAAAATGTAATGATTTTTTTTAAAACAATATTTGTTTCTTATTATAATATATTAATCATTACTTCCTAATCAATTAATTGATTATGCTGACGAAAACCGCCTGAATATTATAATAATAAACTATATTTCATGGTTTCTTGAGGACCAAGCCAACCTGTATAACGAACTGGTACAAACTTACAGTAACCTTCGAGAAGAGATCCACAACTTTAAGACCTATTTCGAAGTAGAAACATCGGGGATTCCTGTGCTACACGAGTGTTTTAGAATCCTTGTCCGCAGATGTGGTAAAAAATCTTTTAATATGAGAATATGTTCTGTCTCCACGCTGTTGGTACTTTATGCCGTAAAAGAGCACGAATTTGTTAAAATGATAGCAATATCCACTTATATTTGCCACCAAAATGTTTAGTAGAAAATAGTAAATTGGTGTAAGACGTCATCATGATCAAATAACCTCTGCCTAATTCCAAACAAAATCGTTTTGATAATAAAACAGAAAATACTAATAGAATTACTAGTCAGGCATTAACGCGATAACTTTAGTCAGTTCCATTATTAAGTAAATATGGGTATTTCAACGATTTAAGTCCGATACAATTTTCAATGGAGTGTAACCTAACCTGCACCGGCAATTGAGTAATTTGTTTCTACGAGTAATTTGATCATATTTAGTCAATGTTCATTTTCTTGTGAAAACTTGCTGTCTAGAAGGAATTTATACTTTTATAAATTTCAGTTGCAAGAAAAATAATCTTTATCAAACTAAAATGATATTTAAATGTCTTCTTTTTAATCAAGATAATTGTGGTCATGACGTCCTACTTGCAGTATTATTCATTGACCTTATTATTTTAGTAATTGGTTTTACTTACGACAAAAGGTCAATTAAATATAGTTATATAACAAGTGAAATCTCTGTTTGAATGGTTAAAATCAACCAGTTGTTTTAAACTCTAATACTTTCGGGAAAAAATGCAACTTTTATTATTTGTGCGATTGGTTCCTTGATCAGATTATTTATCTTTTACTATAGGCTATGCCACGATAAATATTGAGAGAAAGTCGAAGACATTCCTTTATGTGTCCTACAATCCAAAAGATGTTTCAGAGAAGTGTGCGGTCTCTCCTGAACAAGTCCTCAAACCACTGGAGTACTATAAAAACGCGTGCAAGCGCGCTGGAGATGTGCTTCAGCATGCACCACATATTAACGACAGCATTTCCGTCATTGTTAATAATGAGAAGGGAATGCGAAGGGAGATAACAAAAGCTGATCTTCCGGGAGATAAAGGAATCGATGGCATGAAGGCCGTCATGTCGAATATTACAAAATTAAAACAAATGAAAATAAATATTAATACCATACAGAAATATACAGAACTAACTTTCAAAGAACTGTTAGAAGCTTCCAAGCTTTTCTTTGGTTCCAATTGCTAATTATTAGTGTACGTAAGGATAATTTATGGCTTACATTTGTACCACAATGCCATAACATACTGGAAAATTGCGTTAAAGGAAGTGCCAGATTTAATAGTCTAATTGTATGTATGTATGTATGTATGTATGTATGTATGTATGTATGTATGTATGTATGTATGTATGTCTTTGGTCTTAAATTAAGTAACAAAAAAGCGAAAACTAACACATTTTGCGTGCGTGTGTGATTTAGATTTTTTAAACGTAGCTTTGATAATTTTTCAGTCATATCGCTACAATGTCTGCAGTGTGGTAGTTCATAATTGTCTCTAGCCATGGGGCTTTATGCTGCAGACATTATCGTTTCACAAGGTCAATCAATCCTAACGCTAACCTCTCAATACTGAGCAACATGCGAGGCTGTTGCTTGTACCGTTTTTATAAGTCTTTGAAATGACTCAGCCGGGGTTCGAACCCACGACTTGACTTCCCGCATCTGAGGCGGACGCACTAACCACTTAGGCCGCCGGAGCGGTCAAAACTTTCTGTAAAATTCAGCAAATAATTTATTTTCCAAGAAAACAAAATTCAAATTTATAAACGAACGTACAATATTCTGAATCAAATTTCAAATAGTTCTAAACGTTTTATAACAAGTCCAAAGGTATATAGAATTCTGAATGAATTTTCAGTCGTGTTCCCGAATGAATTCCAATGTTGAATGTGCTAATATGTAGGTAGCTTCGAATGTGCTAATGTGCTAACATACTTGTTGTATCACAATGATGCAATTCAAAATGTCCTTGAATCAATTCACACAATCCCAACATAACTATTTTGTCCCGAATTCCAAATAATAATTTAAATAAATAAGCCTTTTTTAATATTAACTTAAATATAACTAAAATTGATTCTTCTGAAGACTGATGTTAACATAGGAATTAGTAATTCTAATAGCATCAATTGCAATAAAAAAAATTATAAGACACAAATTGAGAACCAGGATGAGGGTCAAAAGTTCATTTACAGAAAATTCTATGTTATAAACAATCTTATGATTGCTCTCCATTACTCTGTCATCTTAATGAAAATTTCCATCCAGATGTAAACAAGATTTGTTTCTAGAAAGCTCTAAGATCATAATTAAGGCAGAATCTATAGATTAAACTTAGTAAACATGTATATACTGCATGACATTAGACATGTATGTCCAACTCATACCCTCAATTATGGATAAAAGTAAAAGATCAACTATGTATGTATGTATGTATGTATGTATGTATGTATGTATGTATGTATGTATGTATGTATGTATGTATGTATGTATGTATGTATGTATGTATGTATGTATGTATGTATGTATGTATGTATGTATGTATGTATGTATGTATGTATGATGCATGTATGTATGTATATGTATATGTATGTATGTATGAATGTATGTATGAATGAATGTATGTATGTATGTATGTATGTATGTATGTATGTATGTATGTATGTATGTATGTATGTATGTATGTATGTATGTATGTATGTATGTATGTATGTATGTATGTATGCATGCATGCATGCATTCATGCATGCATGCATGCATGAATGTATGTATGTATGTATGTATGTATGTATGTATGTATGTATGTATGTATGTATGTATGTATGTATGTATGTATGTATGTATGTATGTATGTATGTATGTATGTTGTTATTGTTGTGGGGCTTAACGCCACTTTTCAGCACACGATAGCTATACATGGCGGCCAGTATTAATGGTGGAGGAAGAAACCAGGAAATCCGCAGAAAGAACCACTGACCCACGAGAAGCTGCTGGCAAGCTTTCTTGCATATCCACATTTCGCCGAATCTTAGACTCGAACTAATGCAGTATGGTAGTGATCAGTAACGGAGAGCGTGTTAGTATGTATGTATGTATGTATGTATGTATGTATGTATGTATGTATGTATGTATGTATGTATGTATGTATGTATGTATGTATGTATGTATGTATGTATGTATGTATGTATGTATGCATGCATGCATGTATGTATGTATGTGAGCGCATGAAAAAGAATTACGTACGCAAACCCAATAAAATGCAGTGTGCATTTCATAGAAGCAATAAATTTGAGTGGTATCTAGGATTCTTATCAATTTAAATTGATCGTTCTTACTTTCCAATCAATACGAATTTATAAGCCCCACCCTAAATATTTTTAGCAAGCAAAATTAAAGAAAAAAGCTTTAAAAAGCATTCTTCAGAGAATTTTATTTATTTGTATGTTTGTTTATGTTCTGGTTTTATATTTTTTTTATTAAAAGACATTTAATCAATGAAACCTAAATTTAGTCATAATTTTATGTCATTTGTATGCTACTAGTATTGTTAAGATTTAAATGTAGATGAGTCTTACAATATAATAGTGTATTCGAAAACACTTTAACCATTTCTATAAAATTTAAATATGTTTAATAAAACTATTACATTTTTCATTATATTGACAAATATAGAAACTCTTATTCGAAAGGCAATGCAAATGCACATTTGAGGGACCTTTTTTGTGCCACAATCGATGAACTCAAATTTAAAGATATGATAGAATTCTTTTGAATAAAAGTTCCGAACAAATTTTGTAAGTGCTTTACGATACAGTTGTGGTTATGTCCTGTTATCTACATATTATTTATACATCGTTATAAACGAAGAGAAGAAAATAATAAATAATATGAATAAACCTTGATATTAATATGTTGTTTTTATTGCGAGGCTGACGAAATTCTTGCTGGATCTTTATTTCCACTTGCAATATCCTATTTTATTCAGATTGAATTTGTTTTCAATTAGGACATGTAAACAGTATTTTTGCTAGAAAAGATGCCAACGTGTATTTTGTTTTCGGGAAATATAATGTACTTGATTTTTCTGAAAAAAGATACCTATAAAAATAAGAAGCTAAAGGCTCAGAAGCTTTTTCCAAATAGACATATATGGTATGTCAAATCACGGTCTTTTGATGATGCTCTAGAATATAGATACCCTCACCTTTTTTTTACCACCGGATCTTTCGTTAGGATTTAGAAAATAAACCCAATTATTTAATTATTTTTTTTTAAATACAAAGTTTTATATATTTGGTTGATGGTAAGCGGTCAGTCTTGCTTTGATAAAAATATGTATAAACATTTAACCACGGTGTAATTATTTCCTCGTATTATTAGTTTGATTAGATATGCAGAATAATACGTTTGAGGATGATCACAGACAGTTAGCGAAATACATGTAGTTAGCAGCGCATCACAAACTGACTTGAAAATTAAAAATTATTCCTTTATTTTGTATTCATTAAAATCATGCATTGAATAAGTTTAGATTCTTAGCATAATAAAAGACCTGAAAATGCATGATCTGAAGTCGACTGTGCTAAAACGCATTATCCGAAGTTCACTGTAGAACACAAACTATATATATATATCGTATCGTCTTGATAGTGGTCTATTAGTTTTCACTAGGTGAGAAGCTTCATGACACGTGCAATGGGTTTGTATAAAGCGACCATATGTAATGTAAAACTTTGGCAGCACAAGCACACTTTCTATACACAGGAACTACAAATTGAACATCTAGAGCGGCCAGATTAAGCCGTTTCCAACTCTGGAATGATAAGGCCGAATTGAGACCGCTAATGGAAGATTGTGCTAGCCAGGGAATCCTGCCACAAGGGCGGACAACCAGGGACGTTATAAGAACTTCGGGCCAAGGGATTCCGTCATATGAACCGCTTAGTCATGACTAGTTTGAGAGACTGCTGAAGGGAGTTGTGCTAGCCAGGGAAACATGTAACAAGGGCGGGCAAACCCGAGACTTCCTAAAAACGTCGGGACATGGAAGCCGCAGTCACATGTACCCTATAATTCATTACAGGGTGGATAAGTCATAGGAAGGCGCACTTACACAATGAAGAAGCCATTGGAGGGTATACCTATGCAGTGAATACACCAGTGGAGGGTATACCTATGCAGTGAATATGCCAGTGAAGGGCTTATATTCAGTGAATTGAATAATTGTTCACTGCGGAACTAAACGTTTTCTTAAGAACTTTAAGAAACGATAATAGTAAAGAACGTTTTAACTCAGTTTATTTATTTTTATATCGTAATTTTTTCTTATTCATCATAATCATCTAAATAAATCGTCTTAATTTTTTTGTGTGTTGTCTCTGTTGTTTACAAGTGGTATTCTAATCGTTCTGTGACATAGCGAAAGAAGAAATTCTGTATGTACAACATTTAAGATCTGAGTTCAATACCTAAATTTATTTACGAGCACACAATATTCTGGAAGCCATCTTGTTTACAGTCGTAGAATATGCGATCGAAATGTTTGGTATTCAGTAATTTTATTACATTTTAGGTAAATTAAAATAGTATATATACGTTTTGTAAACAAAATCGTGTGTTCTTGTATCAAGTTCAGTCTGTGAATCATTTACTGTTGCGTTCAGATATAATTTGAGAGAAATCATTTGTTTACATTATTCATTTTAATCACAAAATGCTCACAGAGTTGGACTAATGATTCATTAATAGACACCCTGGATGAAACAATTATAATATGTAAAAACATTTAAGACTAATGGAACATTCTTTTGGAAAATTCTAAACCTTTATACTCATGATAGGGTATTTTGAGTTATTTATATTTGATGTTACTATAAATATTTGGGTATCAGGACATCTCCCCACGTACATCTCCTCCCCTTTGGACTTTCACCCCATCAGACAGGACTCCCCCCAGTCACTGTGAACACAAATTCACACCCATTTTTAAGCAATGTTAGTTTATTTGTCATTCAATTGTTAGTGCTTTTTCTCACTATAAAACAGGAGGTTTCTTTGAAGTATATTGAAGAGGCTTGAGTCTAGCCTTTATTTATTCCGCATATTTGTTATATTTAAGATATACAATATAAGTGAACAGAGCTTAAACAATGTCAACTTAAATCAGATCTTCCGTGGACATTTGCCTCAACAACCAAAGAAGTTGCACAAAGTCTGTTCTTCAAGAATTGCAAACAGTCGCCGTCTTATATTTTCCTGAACCCCCTCTCTCTCTCTCTCACACACACACACAGACACACACACACATACACACACACACACACACACACACATGGATCTTAACAACCAAAGAAGAAGTACAAAGACTGTTCTTCGAGAATTGCAAACATAATCATCGACTTCAACAATAGTGACATTATAGAATACTTAAACGCAATTGCTTACAACATTAACTTTTAAACAATACGTTTTTTAATATGTAAAAGTATTAACTTTGTTTAACACTTGCGACTAAAATTTATTTCAAATAACCTTTTTCTTTTAACACAACTTAATATAGGGTTTTATATTTTATTGGTAAATGTCATATTAAATGAATTAAGATTAAGAATTACGATGGAAATGACCGGGGAGGGGAAGTCCTATTAGATGGGGGACGTCCAGGGGAAAATTCCGGGGGAATATGTGGGGGGAG